CATTTTTGTGAAGAAAGACCGTCCATCATTAAACAGAGGTGGAGGCCTCCGCTTTCAGTTGTCCCCCTCCTACAGTGCTGCCATTGCCAGTATCACTCCACCCCTGTTAACAATAGGTGTTAATTAGGTGTGAACGATAGCCATGTGATGGGAGTATCAGTCACATGGAGGCAGGGCTTCAAAGCCTGAATTTTGCCTGAAACTCTCAGACTGAAGAAGTCTCTTGGAGGAGAGACGAAACGTTTCATTAGAGAAGAACCCGTCCAGAGGACCTATACAACTTTTTTCCTTTTGGATTTTTTACCTGGATTACTGAGATGCATCAGGACAAAAAATGGAAAGGGTTTTATCCAGTTAAAGTTAAATCTCATCAAGAGTGAAATGCTTAAAAGAGCTGTGCTGAAATTATTGCAAAAAAACTTCAATGTAAAAAAACTGTGGGACAAAATTACTAAACACTAATGTGAGAGATTGATAAATTCAGACAGAAAACCACTGCTGAGAGAGTTATTGCAGCTAAAGGCGGTTCTACAAGCTGCTCCATCACAGGATGGACTTTCCAACACATTTTTTTGMTTATGTTTATTAAATATTAACATGGAGGGATATGTTGTGTTACTTTTGGTTTAGAGCTGAATACTTTTTTCCAAGCCTGATACAGACCAGATCCTGTTTTTGTGTGTTCTGATCAAAGAACTGCAAGTGTGTAGGCTACTGTCTCTGGATTRAACGTCACGTTCAGGGTTGTGTGTTTGCAGACAGGTGTACACTTCTAATCCTCATCCTTCCTCCTCTGTGTTTGTCCATCACTCATGTTCTGCAGGATGCACACACACACACACACATACACACAAACCCACCAGAACTGAAGCGAGTGAAACCCAACGACATGCAGATGCGCGCTCTGTGCGCGCGTTATTTGTATGCAAAGCGCCGATGTGATTCCTATCATGCGGGGCTGAAATGACAAATCCATCATTTTCATGTAAGGCAGAGGATATGAAAAACACACAGATGAATTAATTTCCATTCTTTCATGCATCACCCGCGCGCGTGTTGTAAGTTCTGCTTGTATTGATGACATTTAAGCGTTTTTTTTTCCCTGAAGGAAACCGGATCCGTTCCCAGGAAGTAGTCCGCTCCTGGTTTTGCTCCTCTTTGCTCATTCTAAAGCACACACCTTCCCTGACTCCCTCAGCACTCCAGCATTGCTGTGCAAGCAGATGTTGCTCGTCCTCCGGTGCCAAATATTCCCATTTTGGATTTTATTTATTTTTTTGGAGGGGGAGAAGGTTTTCTTCTTTTTTTTTCTTTCTTTCGCGCGAAGGCTCCAAAGTGACACGAACCGGTAGAAAACTGTCGCCTTCTTCGACTCAGTGGCACGGATAGAGGTGTTTTTTCTTTGTGTGTGTGTGTGTGTGTGTGTGTGTGGAGGGATACAGTAAAGCTTACAGTAAAGCCCGCAGTTTAATCACCACACCTGTGATGCGTTGTTCTGAGCAACGAGGACGCACGAGCTGGATACTGATGGCCACGGCGCGGCAGCAGGAGGAGAATATGTGCTGAAAAAAAAAATAAACACTTGGAGGGGACAAAACAACGGCGTAAAAGTGCAACAGAAGACTCGTTTTGGAATCTGACAAAGACCAGCGTTTGGTCTCGTTCGCCTTTTTSAAACTTAAGTGGTTAAAAGCAGCTCGAAGATGCCCTTACCTCTGGGCCGCTTTGTCCGCTGTAGGTGCAGCGCTTCGCCGCTCCTTCTCGGGCTCTGGTTGGTGTTTGTCGGCTTCACCTCCACTGGTGGTAAGTTTTTATTTTATTTTATTTTATTTTATTTTTTACATTTGTTGGCTAAAGCGTAGTAAAACACCCGCACGTGATAAGTTGTTTGTTTCTGTGTGTGTGTAGTAGCCGGGGCGCGTGACGGAGCACGTTGTCGGCAGTAATAATTTGCTAGCTCGTGGCTTTTTTTTTTTTTTCTTTCCCCACAGTCGTAAATTAGCTTGCACCAACAAGGTTAAACGGAGGCAAACGTCGCTTTTTTTCGAGGGTAAAACTTGAGGGAAGCGTTTTAAATGCGCTGACGTGTTATTAATTGTTTATTCTAACCAGAATTTATTAGTTTATTGCACCTTTTGTGTGTGTGTGACTTCAAGTTGGAGCTACACCTGCTTCTTGTTATGGTTAAACCTGCAGCAGCAGGAGAAATGATGAGTGAACCGAGCAATAATAAATAAAAACACCCCTCCTCAGCGACATTATAACGCTTCTTCAAAATTCAGCCTATAAAAGTTAAAACTGAGTGATTTAAACTCGTCTGACCCGCTGGCTGCTACCAGGATCGTTTAACTCCACGTCCCCCCCCTCCGGTCAGGACTCATTCCTGCTGCATTTGCAGCGCGGTGACAGCTTTACAGAGCTGGTGGACGACCTACTCGCACTGATGAGTTATGTTTTATGATGTAGTCCTGGGCCAGACGCTCCAGATTGCATGCAAATGAGCTTTGATGCACAAAACAATCACTGACGGCGAGGTGAGCCCTGACAGTACAGGAAAGGGCAGTTCCTACTGGTGGCAACACACAGGCCGATTTTAAAATAGTCATTTAGTTATTATAATAATAATAATAAAATGTATCAGCTTTACTGACCTGCAGCAATTCAGCCCGCCGTGTCTGGACCACAACCATTTGACATTCAAAGTTGTCATCCGATCAWTCCGTTCAATTTTCCTGCTGGTTATGATGCAAAGTGTCTCCACTCATCTTTTATAAACAATTCTCTGCCCATTTCTGAATATTATCCTCACGATGCTGCAAGCAGCTGTTTGCAGCCTCAGTGTTTCCACCCATCGTTTGCATCATGTTGTTTCTGACCTTGCTTTGGACATAAGGAAAACACTGTTAAAGTTTGTTTAATTGTGTCTCTAGCTTCACAGTACACAGGCGATCATTTAAGGGGGGTCTCTTGATTGCATTAATTTATAATTATGAATAAAGAAGGACTAAATAAACAGATGTGCTCCACAGACATTGGTTATTAACCTAAAAAGGCGCCTGTGTTTACAAATTGTTTTGTTAAAGCACATGTTGGCAATTGGTTTGGGTTATGTGTCGTGTTCAGAGGTTAAGTACGGAGCCTGCGAGGGGACAAGGGGGGATTTTTTTTTCCTTTTGCATTCCGATGCAATACTTTTGCGTTCCCTCGCGATACTTTTGCGTTACCTCGCGATACTTTTGTGTTCCCACGCAATACTTTTGCGTTACCTCGCGATACTTTTGTGTTCCCACGCAATACTTTTGCATTCCCTCGCAATACTTTTGCGTTCCCACGCAATATTGTTTTGCATTCCCACGTAATATTGTTTTGCATTCCCTCGCAATACTTTTGCGTTACCTCGCAATACTTTTGCGTTCCCTCGCAATACTTTTGCGTTACCTCGCAATACTTTTGCGTTCCCTCGCAATATTGTTTTGCGTTCCCACGCAAAAGATTGTTTTGTATATGAACTGAATTAAATCAGACTTTTATTTTGAAATATCCGGTTACCAAAACAAAATGTGTCGCCACAAGTTCATGAAATTGACATTGATGTTGCGTGGCTGCACTGTGTTAAAATATCAGCATATGACTTACTTCCACGCGTGGCTGTGATATATTCATTCTGAAGCTGAATTAAAGCAGTAGGCTAACTCGCTAATGATAAACATGTAAATTTTGCTAATAAACCGGCAGGCACAATAGTGATAAACTACTTTTTGCGAGGGAACGCAAAAGAAAAAAAATCTCCCATGTCCCCTCGCGGGCTTCGTAGTGAAGAGATGCACTTTGAGCTTCAATTTATTTACTTTCTTTGGTGGAAGTTGTGTGTTCATTAGGTGCTCTCTGCATGCCTGGGTTGCCTCATACACTCCATAGATCTGAGATCTGGAGATGTAGGTCAAATTTAAGGCTCGAAATTCCCCGAGGTGAGTTGCTGTTTCTTTGTTTGCTCACTCGGTGCTTGCTGGTGTAAGATCACAACCTTCTCATGACCTCAAACAGAAAACATCAGGTATACTAATAGAGGGGGAAATAGTGTAGGGGGCGAGGTGTTGAAATTCTATTAGTGTCTTCTCGGTTTTGAAAAATCCTCCTGGACTTTTTCTCCTTTTTCTTTCTTTCGTTTTTCTTTTTTTTAATATATATACTGTATATTATTGGCAAGTACAAGCTTCTTCAAAAACCACTCATCACAACTCGGAGGCTATTTTTTTCTTAGACAAAGTGAGTTCCAGAAATGGATGGGAAGGTAATTTGGAAGCCAATTCAGTCTGCATCGGGAGTTGGGACAGTCTCAGCTGAGATCAGTCAAGCCACGCTACCCCCCACCCCAACACCCCCYCGCGTGGAGGCGAGCTGCTGACTCTGCACTCGTCTGTATCAAAGCTGGCTTGTCTTCTCTTTTCAGGGAAACATAACTCAGTCAGTAATAAAGGTTGGGCTGTCAGTCTAGGTTTGAGCTGGCCGAGCACTTTGTCTTTCACCGTGTTGTGAGAGATGTGATGGACCGGACTGAGATAAGCAACTTCAAGCTTCAAGTCTAAACCTACCAAAAAAAAACTGTTCTGTTCTATGGTGTGCTCACCTCTTGATGCTTTTAGTATGCAAAGCACATCAGTGTGTATGTGGGAGGGTGTTTCCACAAAGATTTGCATTCATGTATTTCAGCTGMGTGTGTTCGGTGTACTCCTGTTGTTAACCATTTGTTCAGACTTTGTTTAGTTGCTTGTTCTTCTTTRCCTACTTCCTTCTGAAATATCATCAAGCCTGAACTATCGATGCAGAGAAAATAAGAATCCACCTTTTTTTTTTGGTGTTTGCTTTTCCCTTTTGCCCAGTGAGAGCGTTGCCAAGCAATTGTTGTCTGGTTCAGCGAGGGAACATGGGATTTCATATCAGGCACCTTCCTACTTGTGTGAGCCATCACCTCAGAGCAATTTCCAGGGGGTGTAAATCTTGTGATGATGCAAGGGGTTGGTCATTAAATGACAACAGGCAGAAATCTATTGCATAATACAGCAATTTGTGAGTTCTCTTCTTATTACTGTAATATCAGAGAAAGACGCTGTTGCCAGACATCTTTCATCATTCGACTGTAAATGACTGGGCAAATCATCCCAGAGTTGTCTTTCTCTCAGCCAATTTTTCCCTCTCCTCATTGACTCACTAAAGAATGTGATAAGAAGAGCAAAAGCTGAAATTAACATGATTTATTGGGGGGAGGCATTGCCTTCTGGTCAAGGGAATTTAAAATCACTTCATTTTTGTTCCGTAGCTAATGCATGGCAAATGATCACTATGTATTTGTAGGGATGTAGTCTTTTTACAGGGAAATTGTGATTTATCTCCAGAAAGAGGCTCTTTATTTTCCCTCTAGTCACTGGAGATAAATTCAGAAAACACAGGAAGACTTGAACACTGAGGGGTATGCAAGTTTCACTTCAGACTGTTTGGTTTTTAAACTGCTGATATTCAAACAGAAATTTGCATGARATAAAAATGCAGAACGTATAGTTCAAGAAAGCAATTACACAAAGAAAATTTTCAAATGGTTTCTCTCCTCGGGCGTACAATTGCTCATTATTTCACGCTGCGTACAATATTTGAAACGGACAGTATCACAGTGACAGAGTGGAGTTGCTTATTTGCTGGACTCAATTAACCAAATATTGCATTTTTATTTGCTCGCAGGAAAAAAAAAAACAGATAATTGAAGTTAATTTTTTTCCCCTGTCCAAACTCCACAAAGTAATTTACTTCAGTTTGAGTTGCAGTGATTAATGAAGGCAAAGATAATAGTTCAGAATAAACAAATAAAAGGTAAATGGTGCATGTCAACGCGGGTCCGCTTTAAACGGTACTGGAGCACGCTCGATTTGGTGACAAATGCCCGGGTTGCCTTATCTTTCACCAGGCTGTGTCCCTGCACTTATCATTTGCAAATGGCCGTCTTGAAAAGCAAAGGAAGGACGCAGCCTTTACGGAGGACACAGGGAGGATGAACCTTGCAGAGGGGAGGAGTTAGGTGTTATTTTCTGCAGTCTGTGCAGAGGCTCTGAGAAGYCACTACATCTCTGTCAAACTCTGCCCTTTTGTTTCAATTACCCCCATTTCTATGATTCAGCTCCATGTGAGAGCGCTTAGACTCCTTCTCTCTTCAGATGCAGCGCACAGCAGTCACAATTTGTGCTTTTCTATATAGGTAGCACAAAAAACCTGACCTGTAGCCTTTATCTTTGCCGTTGTGTCGTCGTCGCTGCCAACCATCTCATCCAAGCAAACCATTCACACCAATCCAAACGCCACCAGAGAGAAGTCGGGGTTGGGGTAGAGGTTAGGGTTGCTGGAGGCTCTAATTGAATGTTCACTTCTCTGGGTCTCCTTACTTTTACTGTCAATGGGAAAAAAAATAAAATGCAGAGCTGACATTCAACCTTGGGTGTCAATATGCCTCTTGGAGGAGGGGGAAAAAATCACCTCAGCAAAAATCATGGGTCGAGTGAAGGTTGACGTTGAATCCAGGAGGTCAGCCACAGTCTAAAGTACTGATGCTGCCAAAAGGCACTGCTCTGTCTATTTTCTGTTGGCCTTGACTTGGCTGAGGGTTATTACTCAGTAAACCGATCAGGTAAGATTGTTTAGTTTTGACTTTGCTTACTGGGAATTCATAAAAGGGTGTCACGAGTGACACATAAGTGCTGCTTAAACGCTTCAGTCAATAACCACTCTGACTTTCATTCACGTGTCGTCAGAACAAGCCG